AAACACAGTCCTCTGTAGGATGCAGGTTATGTTGTGCATTATTTAAAATAAAAACTGAGCAGAGCAGCTGTCTAATTCGCAAGAAGAGCAAAGACAATCTTATGAAAAAAAAAACTTTACTGCATGGTGTCATAACAAAATACAACTGTGTGTGTGATTGTAGTTGGGTAGAAGTAGCTGTTATGAACAGAACAGACCTCAGGGAAGGGTGGAAGGGGATGAGAGATATTCATTGGAGAGAAAAATGGACAAATGAACAAAACCTTTTTGCATTTAACCCTTTAAAGCCTGACCCAAAAACAATAGGAAGAATATTGAATTTTTTAGTCTGCAGTGTTTTTGGCCCCTCAACAACATATGAAGAAAAAAAAACGGAAATTATTTGGATCAATTTAGCGTGAAATAAGTCAAAAATGTATTTTTGTGTAGTTTTCTACTGGCTGTTATCAGGTATATCTGAATGTGTACAACAGGGGTACTTCAGAAACCGTATCAAATATGATACATTTGGCATTATAGGGTTAAATGTTGGATACTCTCTGGGATGTTAAATTAGCACCTGGAAAGACACCAGTCATTCACAGGTATTTATTATTAACTGGCTAAGAATGGAAAGGAGATGCAGTTTGAAAAAGGCTATCAGGATCTGTGGATATTCAACAACTGAATGCAAAAAACAAAAAAAAATTACTCCAAGTTGCATTTAAATGATTCTCGCTTTGAATTCTTTCTTATTTCTCTATCAACAAAGTAGCAAGATGAGACAAACTATGGCTGCACGAATGCTTCTCGCAGATTTAGTTCACAGTTTGGAGCTGTGATTAGTCACGTTTGGGTGAGAGCGTGACACATGATGTGTAGCGCCGCTGCCATTCCGGTGGCAAAAGTCACATTTTTGGCAGCAGTTGAAACGTGACATGCTTTGTGAGAAAGTGTCCATTTTTACCCCTGAAAAGCCCAAACTCCTACCTGTCAGCTGCCACGCGCTCAGGTTGTGTGTCAGTTGAAGGGTTTTCTGGTGTCGGTGCTCTGGCCTGACATGGATCTTTTTAATCAAAACATGCGATGGTCTAAAAGAGATGGAAAAAGAAAAAGAAAAAAATGGAACAGATAGAATATAAGGCGGCGCATTCTCTTTCATCCCTCAAAACGCTCTCATGCGTTTTCACCCACACATCCTCTAATGAACTGTCTGTCCATTAGAGACACAGGACTGTGTGCTCAGTCAGACTTAAGCATCAGACCCTCGCAAACAGAGCGCTCTCCTGTGAAAAAGCTCTTTTCCAAAACAATGCATCTGCGTTGGGGCAGAACAGGCTCATTATCAACCGTCTCTGCAACCGCATCTCATTATTTCTACATTTCAGCAGATTTCCGGCATAAAAATGATGCATTTGAATATGTGCAGTGCGCCCTTGCTTATGAAATTCTATTATATTGTTTGCTTGAAATAACTTTTAAAGAGAAAAATGGGTCTCTGAGAAAAAATGGAAGGAAAGCTGCCACAAAATGTAATTTTTTGACATGGTTAGCTGAGCAGGAGTTCAGTTAGTTATCCCAAAATCCATGCTTCCACTCCAGCAGCACGTTTCTGGCACCAGAGTCATGCTTGGATTTCAGCTTGACTTTGACGCTACGTGTTCTGTTCCCACTTAATACAAGATGCTAAACTGCAGGAGGGAAAGAGGCTGGTTCTTGAGGGGCTACAGCCGTGATTAGAAGAAAACTCAGCCGCGAGCAGATGGCCACACAGACTCCGCTCGCTCGAAAGTAGGCAGTCCACCCACCTTCTATCATTTTCTCCCTTTTTTTTCTACTGGAAAGCTGAGGAGGGGGACAAACCACAGAGAACACGAAATAAAAGAAATAGAAAAAGTACATTCCTTAACTTCTGTAATGTCTTCCAGCATGAATAAATGTTTTTTTCAGCCATGTTTTTCTAGTTGTTTCTTGCTTCAAACATTAGATCATTCTTGTTTTAAGGGATTCACCGGCCTCTGCAGAAGGGTTTCATCATAGTTTTGCCAGATAACAAGCTAATTTGCTGATAGAAAATAGTTCAGCAACTGAACAGTAAGAGTAAGCAGTTTATTTTGTCCTGGGATGCAACACAGGGCTTTGGGTTGGACTCCAAACCAGGTCAGTTGGAAGCGTGTGTATGGCTAGCAAGGGCTTTGTCTTAATGCAATCTCTCATTATTTACAGAAGACACTTTTTGGCAACATGTAAGAGTTTGAAAAAAGAAAATACAGTTGATTTTTAATTATTCTGGGTGTCAACAGCTTTGGGTATTTTATTCTGCCAAAGATCAGAATGTACTATAGAATATGTTTCCAACATTCTTTTGGGTTTATTTGTTGGAAACCACTACTTGGGAATAAAACGCATTTACTGTATTGTTTGTAAAATCAACAACGTCTCGACAATCAAATGTTGTTTAAGAAACAGCGTGAAATCCAAAGCCTACAATCTCTAATCAGATATGCAATCATTTGCAAAAACATACCCTGCACATGGGGAGACTTGGGGGTTGGGTTGTTTTTCTGCGTAAACTTAACTTGGCATTTGTTTTTGATTTCCGGACGTGTATTTTCCCTTTTCTGCTGTGTTTACCTGCCCTGGGATCGAAGATGGAGATTAGCCAGAGGCTAAATCAGGCATCTCTCTTCCTACACATGATCACTGGAAAACAGAGGAATGGACAGTATTTAATCTGTATTTGCAAAGTCCAACTTTAGCTAAAGACTCAATTTCCCTTTTCGACTACATTTACATTTTTTAGAGAGTGGGTTATCATTTCACATGATTTAAAAATTAAAAACCAGTGTGAAGTGCTAAACTTCATTTTTAGAGCATATCTACTCCTCTGAGTTTTTCCAACAGATTGTAACAGGTTACATTCTGTCCTTTGGGGATTCTTTCTCTTCAGAATCTGTCACTAGACATACGGCACAGATCTGGATTTGCTGGAGGCAGTTCTGTGCTCGCTTGATTTGTCCCACGTTCTGCAATGTTGTTTGTTTTTTAACTGGCTCCAGAGCGTTCTGCTGACATTGTCTCTTCCTGCTTAATGATCCCTGTGCGCCGGCCATTTCCCCGGTAAAAGAAACTCTCGGATTTAAATTGTGGCGATTAAGAATTTCTCAAAGTCTGAGGGAGCTCTGCGTGGAGCAACTAACGTACCGTTAAAGTCAATCCAAAAATACTTTTCTTCCTCTACCGACAACGCAAAAGCCATCTTCACTTATTGATTGCCCCTGTTAAATCTGTACCAATCACAACACAAGGGGGGTGCAGGTACACACACAGAGACAAATCATTGAAAAGGATTTTTAAGCTGCCACATGGCAGAAGAGAGAAAGGCCTTTTAGATCAATGGAAAGGTGATCAACCTAATACTTTTTGTGTATTCAATTAAAGACGACCACATTGTGGTCTGCCAGCAGAGATAAGAGCCCTCTGGAGCTGTCCTTTACAGAGGGGGGGGGAGAGTGATGGGAGTCCGGAGTGACGGTAAATCCAGCCGGTAATGAATGTCATTTCTAAATTGAAAGGGTCCGTTAATTCTCC